AGTGCTTTCAGTAAACATTATCTCAGGATTTCTGAAACCAGGCTCCTCACACAAGTTTTCAAATGGAAAAGCTAACTTTTGACCCTGTCAGTCAGCGTCCAAGTAGCTAGCTCCCAAATAGGCACTGATGCTGGGAAACAGATTTAGTGTTTAGTTATAAGAATATTTTTCAAAGAACAAATATTCAGATGGCCACTCATCTAAGCTGTGAAACTACTGTTTCTGTCTGTTTGTTTGTTTGTTTTGCTTTGTGGCTGGGGAAAGTCTTACTTGATGTTAGCAGAGTTTGGTGTCTATATCGGCAGGTACATGAATGTCCCTAAGCATCTAAGGCTATGTATTTGCGGAGCAGGTGAGATAGAGGATGTTGTCCACTATTTACTCAATTGTCAGCTCTATCAAAACCCCAGAGAAAAGTTCCTGGGTAACATTTTGGCTGCCCTACAGGAGGAAAGCCCTCAGATAAGGGTGGTCAGGTTACTTTTGGATGGTGACCCATATGTTACATACAGAACAGCACTGTTTGCAAAAGTGGCCAGAAATATCCACGCTAATTTCCTGAGAGCCATTGCAATCAATTGTGCAGGAGACTCCAGATATGGTCTCTTATTATTTTATATGTCTGTGATTTTATTTAATCATATTTGTATTTTTAAACAATTGTGACAGCTTTTAGCCTATACAATAAACTTGAACTTGAACTTGGTGTCTATATCCTGTTATAGTATCAACCATTCCACCTGTCTCACCACTATATAATTGTTTGGTAATTAAGGGAAAAGGACTCAAAATACAGTGGTGCCTCGCTTAACGAGCGCACCGTTTAACGACGAATCCGCATAGCAATGCGGATTTTGCGATCGTTTTAATGATCCCATTGTGATGTTTTATATGGCAAAACATCGCATTGTGATGATCGGTAAGCGATTGTCGCATTGCGATGTTTTGGAAACAGCTGATGGGTGGTTCCAAAATGGCCGCAGCATCAAGAAAATGGCTGCCCACAGCCATTTCGCACCCTGCCCTCGCTTACCGAGGCGGCAAAAATGGTGGCCGGATGGGAAACCTTCGCTTACCGGTGAATTTTTCCCCCACAGGAACGCATTAAATGGAGTTCCTATGGGGTTTTATGTTCCGGATAGCGATGTTAATCCTGGAACAGATTAACGTCGCTATGCAGGGCACCACTGTATGCTATGTGGTACCAAATACCTTCTGATGTGTGGTGACTATATAAGTTACTGACTTCCAAAATGTCCTATTATTAACTGCTCTGCTCAGGTCTTACAAACTAACAGCTGTGGATTCCTTTATTGAGACAATCTGTCACATGTTAGGTCTTCCTCTTTTCTTACTGCCCCTCCTCCACTTTTACCAGCAATATTGGTCAGTTCTGTTATTTTCATGATAAGTGCATAATAGGATAGCCTCACTGATCAATTTTGCTCTTCTGACAGTTTAGGCTTAAACTTCATTGAGCACACACTTTTCTGTCTTTCTGGCTATATGGGGTATCTGTTAAAGCTCTTCTCCAATAAATACCACAGTTCAAATGAGCTGTTTTTTAATCCTGTCTTTCTTCATTGTCTTTCTTTTATATAGTACAGATGATCCTGACCTTGATTTCCAGTGACAATCTTTGCTAACTCTGAGCCCTACCCCTTTTATTATAAAAGGCGAGAAGACATATTTTGAAAAACATGCACACAATATGTTTGTAGAGCTTATGGTCCTATATAGCTTTTCTTCCTTAGATTGCCTACCCCAAGGAAAGGGTTTGAAAATTGAAACATAACTTTCTAGTCTACATTCTATGGAGAGGCCATGGCAACACTAGTTTACTTGAGAGATTAAAGGGTGTGTGTGTTCCTTCATTGTATGTGCTGCATTTACTCACACCTTCACCATTTCATTAAGTTCAAAACAGCCTTCCAAAATATTTTGACTCAAAGGGCCTGCAGCTACATCCCATCTATTCTTGCTTCTGTCCTCTCCCATCAACCACAGCACAGACTATGTGCTCATCTTCTGCAATCCACTAGCACCAGGTAATTCTACATGAGGGAAGTTTCTGTTGAAATTTGGGTGTGGTATATGTATACTTAAACTTCCATTTTTAAAAGCAAGGAAATTTAATTCTTCAAAAAAAACCCTCCAACTGCCCTCTGCTATGTAAAGCTTGGCATCCCTTTTCCTGCTGGCAATATGAGCAGGATATTGTGTAGCAATATTGGGCCATTTTCTGGCTTTTTGAATCATCAGTACATAAGCACAATATCTCATATTCATACACCAGGGATGGGGTGTTGTGGGTTTTTTTTTTTTGAAGACTTAAATAATATTTTAATATGATACACATTACTCATCTACAGGACACATTAGTAAAACCTACAATATCTGATGCAGCTATATGTCTTCTGTTAAAACAGACAAACACAATGACTATGTTCAGAAACACAAAAAGCCTGAATTATTTAGAATTCTAATTTACTATCAACAAATTCAGCACCATGCTGATGCATACTATCCAACTGCTCCCAGTGCAAGAAGCGAACAACTCAACAACCACAAAACTCATGCTTATGCATGGTTTGTTCACTATGTCTGATTCCATGATCTATATTTTAGGGGTGGGGACTAGTATGTATAGTTCAGATATCATAATTACCAAAGCACAAATAAAGGTGGGTGGTTTGCTGATCTGTTCTTGCTTGTAAAGAGAAAAACCAGACAACAGGCACCAAACCCCTATGGAAGTGCTGGCGAACCTTTCTGAGCCCGAGTGCCCAAACCGCAACACAAAATCAACTTGTTTATTTCAAAGCGCCAACACTGCAATTAAAACCTGAATACTGAGGTTTTAGTTTAGAAAAAACAATTGCTCCTACACTGCAAGGGTTGCGCTTGTGTTTTTTTTTTTTCCTATGGCCGGTATTAACAAAGAAATACTTACTGGTCCTCCAATCCCCCATTGGGCTAGACCAGTAATGGTCACCGTTGCACACCTCCATTGGACCACTGCACCAGCAGAGGGGAGTGCCAAAATCTGGGATCAGAGGATAGGTAATTATTTCTCAATGGTGACTTATGGCTCAGGTGCCCACGGAGAGGGCTCTGTGTGCCAACTGTGGCACGCGTACCATAGGTTCATCATCGCTGCCCTATGGTGTCTTTGTGCAAACCAACTAAATGAGCATGTGTAATAAGGAGTCCTATTCACCATATGTAACACAAATTTATTTTGTGCACACTTTCACAAACATTCAATTTTAGTGCCTATACTGAAGGCTAGAGATGGTAAAGTGCAAAATAGTCCTCAATCATTTTAGACCATGAAGTCCAGAACATAAAAGTACAGGCATTTTGTTTTCTTTCTATTTGTTCACACCAAGACAACACTTGAATTGCCTTGCTCAAAATAAATTGTCACTTGTTTGTAACATGGCAAATGAAATGTTAAAAACACGGGCTTCAAAACACTCTCATTTAGTAAAAACAAAACACCAGTGTTAACTCCTCTTCAAAAAACCAAATAAAAGATTAAGAGCAGTATTACTGTAACTGTAAACGTGAATGATCAACATTATACTAGAATTAGGCAGATACTTTGTATATATTCATTATTTTAAAAACTGGAACAAATTCTCTACAGTGAGTTGATAGGCAGCTGTCCACCAAGGGAATACAACATGCATAACCTTTGGCAGGATACACATAAAAATCAACAAAGCAAACAGCAAGGAATTGAATGGGGCCTAACAGATGCAAACACAACTTGCTTTGTCCCAAACAACTCTAATATACGAAATCTGAGGTAATGTTACTCTAATGAAATGAGCAGATATCTCGCTACATATTAGGAAGCCCCCATTCGGTGCCAGATGCAAAGCACTTTTAAGTTTGTAGTTTGCATTTCCTGCCCAGAACTTGATCCAAATCAACAAGGGAAAGAAAGAGACAAACCAAAACTGAAAACGTTCCCCGTACAGTAGTTTCCTTTTGCTTCTCGGCACCACCATAACGGACCTCCCTCGTAAAATGCTTTGGCTTCCCCTAACCCTGTTGATATTGTTTAGTCATGTCCGACTCTTTATAACCCCATGGACCAGAGCACGCCTCCTGTCTTCCACTGCCTGCCAGAGTTGGGTTAAATTCATGTTGGTCACTTCGATGACACTGTCCAACCATCTCATCCTCTGTCGTCCTCTTCTCCTTTTGCCTTCACACTTTCCCAGCATCAGGGTCTTTTCCAGGGAGTCTTCTCTTCTCATGAGATGGCCAAAGTACTGCAGCCTCAGTTTCAGGATCTGTCCTTTAGGTGAGCACTCAGGGTTAATTTCTTTCAGAATGGATAGGTTTATTCTCCTTGCAGTCCAGGGGACTCTCAAGAGCCTCCTCCAGCACCACAATTCAAAAGCATCAATTCTTCGGAGGTCAGCTTTCTTTGTGGTTCAGCTCTCCCTAACCCTGAGCTGCCCCTAAATAACACAACTTCCCGAAGGGAGCCGCGGGTTGGAGGAGCAGGTGAGCGAGCAAAAAGGCGTGCAAGGCACGGCCCACGTGACAAGGGCCTGCCGAGGCCAGGAGGACACAGAAGTATACAAGCAAGTCAGAGGGAGACGCCTCGGGCGGAAGGGCCCCTCCAGGAGGGAAGGGTGGCAACACCCCCCCCCGGGGGGAGAGGGAGAGGTGGGCCCCTGAAGAGTGCCACCCCCTTCTTACACGTTTCTGTCACCGTGTGAAAGGGGGGGGGGGCTCAACCCGTCTCTTTCTCTCTCTCTCTCTCTCTCTCTCGCTGCAAGACACACTCACTTATTTCCCTGCCACCAGCAGCACCTTTCTGTCTCTCAGGCACCCAAAGGCGGGTGGCGCCGACAGGAGGCGGGAGGGGCGAGAGAGCCCCCACTTCGTGACGACAGGCGGCTGCTATTGAGGGGGAGGGTGTCAGAGAAGGGTGAGCGAGGCTAAGCCGGCTCCGAAGCCACCCTGCCCTTCCTTACCTCCCCAGATGCCAAGCTTGAGCTGGGAACTGTCCAGATTCACCACATAATCGCCCAGGAACCGGTTGAGGACGTCCACGACGAGCGACTCGAACACCATTCTCGGGAGCGACGGTGCTCCCCTTTTTTCCTGCCGAGCCGCGCTTTCTCCTCAAAAATGTCAGCCTAAAAGACAGAAACACCCCACCACCACCACCACCCCGCAAGCCACCCTCTTCTCTGCCTGCCACCGGCTTTGCTGCTCCTGAGAGACAGGGTGGCCCTCGCTTTGCCCACCCGCTGCCTGGCCGGCGGCGTGTTGTACCCGGACTCGCCCAGTCCGACTGCGCAGGCGTACAAACGACGTTCGGGCGCTCCCGAAAACCCTTCCCTGCAAAGCGAGGGCCCTCTTGCGCGAGCGGGGCGGTTGCTCTTGTTGCTCCCTCCCTTTTTCCCTTACCAAGGAAGAGTCGGGAAAAGGGGAACACAGGGCGGCTGCGAAGGCCACCTCAACAACAGACCCGCTCGCCGCCTGGCCTTGGCCCGAAGCGCCTTATAGTTCGGAGGACCGAGCCCTCGCAAGCACATACAAGACTTGCCAGCCTTTTACTCCCCTCTTTAGCCGCGCGCGTCATTGGCAAATGGCCGCGTGTCAGCGCGTTCCGAAGAGAACGCGGTGCATGTGGAACGTGTATGGGGGGTGCGCTTCAACCTTCTTGCATGCGACCCGAAACCCACAGCCAAATTTTTATTTTCTCTCATACTCATGTGTGTCTATTCTGCTCCCCAAAATTTGGGGCAGGGCAGCCGGAGAGGACTTAAAATAGAGCAAAAATACTGTTCTTGAGGCTGGCCCCCATGTAAGTGACATGTGGAAGATACTGAAAGAGGTATAGATTTTTTTAAAAAAAACTCCTAGGTCATTACTTCACAGGAACGTCTCCATCGTTAAGACTCATGTATTTAATGTGCCTTGGTAATAGGGTGGCTAATAGTGGGCCTAGACCTATATTTATTTATTTATTTATTTATTTATTTATTTATTTATTTATTTATTCATTTAACTTATATGCCGCTTACATTACCCAAAGTTCTCTGGGTGGCTTACAACAATTTAACTACAGTAAAAAAGATAAAACAATTAAAGTACAATTAAAATATATTGTGCAACCAGCCTTCATCACTCAGGTTGAATATTCTACCCACGTGGGAAAATGCGGCACATCTTTTGGAGAAGTGTTGGAGTTGGCAGGCTTTAGTTTGGGTGCATATGAGTATAAGGTATGTGCTGTCCAGTAGGGAAAATAGGAGCAGGGCTTTCTCTGTTGCTCCTCCCAGTTTGGAACTCCCTCCCACAAGAGGCCAGACTAGCAGCCTTCATCACTCAGGTTGAATATTCTACCCACGTGGGAAAATGCGGCACATCTTTTGGAGAAGTGTTGGAGTTGGCAGGCTTTAGTTTGGGTGCATATGAGTATAAGGTATGTGCTGTCCAGTAGGGAAAATAGGAGCAGGGCTTTCTCTGTTGCTCCTCCCAGTTTGGAACTCCCTCCCACAAGAGGCCAGACTAGCCCCATCATTGCTATCCTGCAAGTAGGAAAGGACCTTGCATTTCAGGCAGGTTTTTCTTTAGCGACAGACTGTCTAGGAGTGGTTTTAAAATAATGTTGCTCCTGGAGCTCGGTATCTTTGCTAATTTTATTGAGCCAAGTCTTGAGCAATAATAATAAGCAGACAGTTTCTTGGAGGAAAGGGCAACTGATTTATTCAGATAAAACAAGTGCACACTTCGGTGCCCAGCAGGGTGGGGAGCCTGAGATCAACAGGGTTAAAGTTTTGATACAGTTCTAAAAAGAAAATTAAAGTATGCAGCAGTTCATTGGTCCTTGAGGAATATATGCATTGGTTACAATTTCTCGCATCTCAGTAAAGCAGTTAGTTACCCATACGCAGAGCAGTTTATCTCTAAAGAATGTTGAATCTTCCTTACAAAGCAATTCTTCTTCTTTGGCATTTGCTCCTTTCTTACAATTTTATTACTTTTGCATTTTATTACTTGTTTTAGTAATGCTTTACCTGATGTTCTTCATATAACATTAACTTGTTTAATATTTCAATAATTCACTGTTTTACCTTTAATATTGTGCTTTAAAGATGTAAGTCACCTTACGTCTTTTCTTAGGAGAAAGGCAGGGCAAAATTTTTTGCTAAATAAATACTATTGCTGTGTGAAGGTGCTTTTTCCACATAAAGCAAGCCAAGATGCAAACCACAGATAAATCCTTTATTTGTTTTATATCAGACTCTTTATATACTGTCATAATCAGATTTATATCCTGTATTAAAATCAAAGTATGAAAAATAATAAAACTATCGGCAGGCAAAACATCATCTCTCTATATGGGGGTGGCAATACGATTAAATGCTTTCTTGTTATTATGTGCCATCAAGTTGCCCATCCCGTATGGTGCCCCTGTGAATGAGCAATCTCCAAAACGCCCTGTCTTAACTGCCCTCCTTACCTCCTGTAAACTCAACCCTGTGGGTTCCTTTAGAGAGTCTATTCATCTGATATTTGGTCTTCCTCTTTTTCTGCTTTTCGTTGTTGTTTAGTCGTTAAGTCCTGTCCGAGTAGCTTCGATGACACTGTCCATCCATCTCATCCTCTCTCATCCTCTTCTCCTCTTGCCTTCACACTTTCCCAACATCAAGGGCTTTTCCAGGGAGTCCTCTCTTCTCGTGAGATGGACAAAGTATTGGAGCCTCAGCTTCAGGATCTGTCAGCTTTCTTTATGGCCCAGCTCTCACTTCCATACATCGTACTGGAAAAACCATAGCTTTGACTATCTGGACCTTTGTTGGCAAGGTGATGTCTCTGCTTTTTAAGATGCTGTCTAGGTGTGCCATCACTTTCCTCCCAAGAAGCAGGTGTCTTTTAATTTCATGGTTGCTGTCACCATCTGCAGTGATCATGGTGCCCAAGAAAGTAAAATCTGTCACTGCCTCCATATCTTCCCCTTCTATTGGCCAGGAGGTGATGGAACCAGTGGCCATGATCTTAGTTTTTATATATATATTGAGCGTCAGACCATTTTTTGGGCTCTCCTCCTTCACCCTCATTAAGAGTTTCTTTAATTCCTCCTCACTTTCTGACCTTCCACCTTTTCCAGTATTACTGCTTTTTTCTGGAGAATCCTGCCTTTTCATGATATGCTCACAGTAGGACAGCCTCAGTTTCAACATTTTTGCTTACAGAGATAGTTCAGTCTTGATTTGATTTAGAACCCACTTGTTTGTCTCTCTGGCAGTCCATGATGTCCACAAAGCTCTCCTCCAGCACCACATTTCACCTTTTCCTAGTCTCAGACTTCTGATTTCTTGGTTTCAATCTCCGTTTGGATTGTTTACAAAGGTATACAAAATTTCTATTTCAGTTTCTTCATTGTCAACAAGTAGGGAACTTGTTTTCCTTCAGATGTTGTACTACAATCCCCATCATCCCTAACCATTGGCCATTTTGACTGGAGCTGATAGGCATTTGCAATATGACACCTGAAAGATTACACAAGTGTCCGTCCCTTGCCTTGAAGATTGGAAGAAGAAAAGATTTTCTTCTCTAGTTCCTAATGACCGGTTAATAATTTGTATGACCCACTTCTGTTTTCTTTTACCCTGGCCTTTTTTGTATACTGTTTGTTTGGTTGTGAGGGTTCGCTTCCTGGCTCCTGATTTGCCCCAAATAAATCACCAGATTTGCGTGGTTTTGTAATCGGAGTAATGTTTATTGCATTATATAACAAAAATCCAGTATCAGCGAACATGTTCCAACCCTTCTCCCTGTCAAACAACGGGTCTCACAGGGGTTTCCACTCATCAGCTTTAAATGGGTTTCCCTCTTGAATGTTCCATCTGCAGAGCCAGATGTTGAGAGTACAATCTCCCACTGTGCCTCCAGGGGAGACAAGCCAGCCTGTGTAGCCTTGGGCAAACTGCACAATCCCAGAGCTGTCCCCAGAAGAAGGGAATGGTAAACCGCCTGTCCAGAGATGCACTCAGGTTTAATAACAGTCCGTTCTCCCCCTCCAACAAGAGGATTGTATCCTCGTCTCTGTTGATCCACCAAGAGAAATTCTTGGGTGGGATCGATCATCTGCCAAGGTCCTCCTGTCATTCCGTCTGCTGCATCTCCCAGATTCTCCATTCCAGTTTCTCCCTTCTTTCTCTCTCAACCTTCTCCTCCCTCAATTTTCTCCTCCACTCTTTAGTCTCCCTTTCACCCCAGTATGCTCCTTCTGGCATCAGCCTCCTCCTTTGGGACTCTTCGCTTCTCCACCTTTCCAGTCCAGGGATCTTCCAGCCACATCCACTCCCAGCCTGGTGGAAGCCCTCCTTCACCCCCTTTTATATCTGCTAGTCCCGCCTCCACTACTACCCACACTTTTCATTCTGTTCCCACCAAAACAGTCCCAGTCTCTTTGACCATTAATTCTTTCAACTCCTCCTCTATCCTCCCCGGGTCAGGTCCAGGTGGACTTGGTGGGGTTTGACTCTCTTTATTGGCAGTAGGTGGGAGGGACGGCACTCCCGTGAGAGGAACCCTACTCTCACCTCCGGTCTTACATTGCTATGTATTTTATTGTTCTGGCATTGGTTTTAACATCACATGTTGCCATTAATGGTGTTATGCCTGTGGTGTCCTGTGGTCCAAAAAAAAAATGCAATGCCTGACCCCAAAATTTCAATTTGACTCTCTTTATTGGCAGTAGGCGGGGGGGACGGCACTCCCGTGAGAGGAACCCTACTCTCACCTCCGGTCTTACATTGCTATGTATTTTATTGTTCTGGCATTGGTTTTAACATCACATGTTGCCATTAATGGTGTTATGCCTGTGGTGTCCTGTGGTCCAAAAAAAAAATGCAATGCCTGACCCCAAAATTTCACTGATAGTATTAACATACCATTTTAATTGTACAGTTTTTCTGCACTATCCATGCAGAGGTTGTGCTAAAACTGAAGAAGTGCAATTTTCTCCACAAAAGCTTACAATTTGATTTTTAGTGATCCCATAAAAGGTATAATCTAGATTTCATTTTAATTGTGTTAGCATGCTGAATTCTTATTAAGATGTAGCTTTTATCCCGTCATTGTCCTGCCTTATTAGTAGAATTTTGGACACTGGCATCTTTCAGTTATAGCTATTATATTTTCCACAGCTGGCTGGAAAAGCTCAATGATTTAGATATCTGGCTGCAGAGCCAGTACAATTTCCCACTGTGCCTCCAGGGGAGACAAACCAGCCTGTGTAGCCTTGGGCAAACTGCACAATCCCAGAGCTGTCCCCAGAAGAAGGGAATGGTAAACCACTTCTAAGTATTCTATACAAGAAAAATCCTGGATAGAGTAGCCCTAAGTAAGAATTGATTTGATGACACATTAT